CATGAGCAGAACATGGATCACATAAGCATCCTTGGTGAGTCAGATATATCACTATTCTAGTGTTATATGCCCTGATCATCCTGACGCACAAAACTTAGACATCCCCTGAGGTTCAATAAAACAAAAAGAACCCTAGTTATCTACAGGGCAATGCTGTAAAGCTGCTTTCTCCTTATGAGAGGAGTATATTCAGTAGACTCACAGATTTACAGTGGAGATCTTTAAACCTGAACTGCAGAGACCAGATGTACTTGACCCTGTACTCAAGGACCTATCCTTGACTGAAGAGTCACTTCACCTGAGCCAAAATAACCACTCAAGCCTGAGTGTGTAAGGCACATCCATGCTGATGGCTTGACCTCATGGTTCCGGACTGGCACAATCCTGTCCACTATGTCCCCCAATACACCTCTGCCAAAGGCAAGGAAAAGCAAAAATGTGCGTAATTTCACAGGTGGCTCACTTCAGTTGCTGTGCTGTGTGACAAGGTCCTTTGAGCTGACTGCAGGCAGAAGGAAGCCTCCTATAACACACACGCAAGGAAATAGGAACTTTTATGTCATATATTTTAGGCATAATACTGAAAAAGCTGGGATAGCAACTGCAAATAACTAATCTATCTAAGGGGGAACAAAGCAGTGCAGGCACAACCTGCAATTGTGAACTCTTGTCCCAGGTAGCTCCACACTCATTTCCAGGTGGTGACTTAAAACGCCACTTCAGTCCTGGGGTCTATGACTCAAGCCAATTCAAGCCAGAAAAGTGGCATCCTGAAGAAGAAAACCCTCTCAGTTCTTCAAAGGACAGACAATTTTTGAGCTGTGTGAAGGCATCACATGTACTTCTTCAACATGCATCTGTGGTCATCTCTTCTCTAAAATTAATACCTTTGAAAAGGTATTCACACACTGGAACAAAAACAAGTCATATCTTGTTAATTCAACCAAATTTGAGTTTATCTAGGGAATCATTCTTTATCCCCCACCATCTGCATCAATCTTGGTCCTTCTACTCAGGCTGTCTTTACTGCACATTCATTTTGAATTGTGAATGCCTATAGTTCTATTTAATGCTTCCCTGATTAGGTACTAATAGTAATGTTAGAAAATATCTTTATCAACCATTCTGCCAGTCTTGCAGTCTTGTAAACTGTAATCAATATCCAATGCCTTTTTAAATCAGCAGGTCCCTTTGAGAAAATAAATTAATTAGTGACTGTTAGAAGTTCACTCTAAGTACATCAATAAAACGAGAATCCATTCAAAAAATAAGAGCCTGCGTCAGAGACTGCTTAATGTAAACATTAATGATGGTAAAATTTTCATCTAAATTGGAAGACTTTCAATAACAAAACAAATGCAACACAAAAAAAGTTGTCCCAGATACAACAACCAAACTTGTTATTTCTTTAAAGAATGAAGTCAATTTGAAGAAAATTAATTTTAAAAATCTATAAAACCAGGTTGACAATTATAAATTATATTCTTATTCATTAATTCTTTATCAACCCAATCCCAAGACAGTCCTTCTGTTATTTCATCCCAAACTTATGGGTCACCTGGATAATTTGATTTGGAGTTTTTAACATTACTATTATATATCATCTTTAGTTCTAATAAAATAATGTGTAAGCTGAGCATTACCTTATAGTTCTGGTGTGCAAGTTTTCACGCTTAAACTTTAAATTATTTCATTTCAATCTCAAAATGCTTTTTTCCTAAAAAAAATCTTTTATTTGGCCCTTGATAATAAAGGTTTGAAATGGTATTTTTTATTCATCATATGATAGTTTGTGACTCTTTCCAAAAACAGAACATTAATACATATTGAACAAATTTGCTTTTTCTGCTAAAGTACTCAGCAGTGTTTTTAATAAGAGATTTTTTACCTACCACAGTCAAAAATAACACATCTTTTAATAAGTTAAAGATGTGTTATTTTCAAATTGTTTCCCAAAGCAGCGGTCATTGTGGTAGTGCTCTCTTTAATTACATATTATTCTACAGTAGTGGGACAGATGCATTATTTGCAAAAGATAGAAAATAGTATAGGAGTAGGTATTACTTTCCTGTGAACAACTCTTGGTATCAAAAGTGTCGTGGGGGATTTTTTAACCAACTCATAGATTAAACTGCCTAAATTTATAGTCTTGTATACTATTTACCTGCTTTATTTTTTACTTCAATTTTTTGATTTAATGTTAGTAGACAATTTAATGCATCAAAGCTGTTTAAACTTGCAGGTAATAAGTCTTTCAGTATTTATGTTTCATCTTTGTCTCTCCTGACTAAATTCTGTATGAAGTAATGTCTTCTAATTAAAGGGAAAGAAGTGGATGAGGGAAAAAGGAAACAGTGGAGTGTTAAAATTTCTTCCACTCCCAAGGTACTATTTGACCTATGAATTTATTTTTCTCATACTTGCCAATGATCTTGCATTAATTTTTTTAATAGTAATAAGACTGTATGCTACATATATTTTAATTAGACTGTTGACCAACTTTACTTTTTCTGTTCAGTTGTATTGGTATCTCATACTGGCTGGAAAGTATTTTAGTACTATTTTAGGGCAATATTTCTAAACACAACTACATTTAACTTCAGTTTACAGTAACAGCCAAGGCAATATATGGAAGAAAGTTTTAACCAGCAAAACCAACCTGAGCTTAATCTCCATTAAAGCAGATGAAATCTTAAATCAATTAGGTAAAAAGAATTAGAAATTAAACTTGGAAAAAAAGAAAACAACAAACAACCCTTATAAGTTAGAGTATCTAAGTTAGGTACCTTTCTTCTGGTCTTTATCTGCATAATCCAGTAGAAAGTGGCATAATATGCAATTCCTTGCATTACCATCATTGTAATAATGGAAAGTATGTTCACAACAAATAGAGCAATGTTCAAACAAGTAAGGTGGAAATTATCTTTTTCCAAGAAAAGTGTAAAATATAACTGGCAAGAGTCAGAATTTTAATTTAAGCATGGCTTCATGTGCAGAGACTGACAGCTGTGAGGACAATAAAATGGTCTGTAAGTGTCAGTGCTTAATAAAACAAAGTAACATCAAAGGAAAATATGCTACTTAAAGGAGAGTAAAGCCCAGCTTTCTCCTAAGTTGTTAATGTTATCAACAGTTTTCAGTCTGACACATTTTCCAAAAGTGTAATATGCATCTTACATCTGCATATAAATTCATTACCCTTCATTCAAGAGACTGAAGTGATAATTTTGTAAAGCCTGTTGTTGCCTTTCTCAAGGTACTGTTTCCTCTAAAGTTAATATCAGTAATTTTTCTTTCTTTTTTTCTTTTTGTTATTAAAAGCAGTGTGAATTTCTGAATGTTTGAGCACTACAGAGTTTTTGCTGTCCTCTTCAAAGCTAGGGAAAACACACCTTTGTTTTATTCAACTGATTCATATATAGACATTTTTAAACCTTTTTTAAAAATGACATTAGGGTAAGGATAAGAGATGGTCCTAAATATAACTACTTGGCTTGGCAAGGGTTTTGCTACACTTTTATCCTATAACTTTTCAGTACTCTATTTTACATCAAAAACCTGTACACAGAAATCCCTGGGAGCATCCTGTCAATTTCCAACAGTAAATTACAGCATACATCCAATAATGCTAAAGTAAAGTTAGGACTATATCTCAGAAATATTAGACAAAGAATTAAAAGGTAAATGCAAGTAGGAAAAAAAATAAAAAGGAAAAAGCTCCATGCCCCAAGGTGGCTGCCTTCCTGTGCTCACCACCTTCATTTCAGAGCGTGTGATGCAGCCCAGCAATCACCCATCACCTTTTGGGTCACTTCCATTAACTTCCTTGCAGCAGGAGGTCTTAATTTATTCATGGTCTTTACATCTGGCCCACTTGGGGAAGCCACCTAGAGCATACCCCTGAAGGGGGACTGCCCTGATTTAGTTTCTTAGTTCTGGGGAGGAGCAAGTTTTTGCCACCTACTGTTCCTGCCTCCAACTCCTGGCATTCAGTTCAGGCAGGAAATCAGTTTTTAGTTGCTGCCAAACTGGAACCTCACGCAGCAATAAGTTCACAGTGCCATCCAGAACTTTGTAATAAAGCAAATCTTGAGCACCTCTTCATATTTACTGAGCAATGAAATACCACGCCAGAATTAAAGGGTGTTTCTGAAAATAGTTTGAATGTGAATCAGAGGATATTTCAGCAGATCCAGTGGAGTAATTACAGGGTAGAAAGAACAAACAGACTGTAATAGATAAGTGAGACAGGCAATCATGGACAAACTGTTTACTTCCCTGCTGATAGATGAATAGAGCAAAGGGTCACCTAGGTGGTTTTTTATTTAACTTTTTTTTTTTTCCTGGCAGATTTATTAATGAAATCAGGCTTAACAGACAAGAGCAGATTGAACATTTTTTTTAAACATGAAACAGATCTGTGGAAGTCTTCAACCACCATGCAAAATAGTTTTTATTACTGAAGGATGGTAATTATGTCCCTTTTATAAAAGGAAGGATGAGACACAAGGTTAACTAAACCTATTCCACAGTCAAATTGAACCAGGGCAATAAGACCTTCCAATTCTTAATCATGTTTTAAGCAGTGTTAAAGCAGCTACCTTTGCTAGGCTGTAATCAAGTGCTAAGAAAAAAACTTTGATGGAAGCTCTCAGAAACTGTGAGTCTTCGAGTCATTAAGCCTTTCATGACCAGTGACAAACCAGCTTGATAAAGGCATGATCTTACTAGGCATGAACTTTGAGACACAGATAGCAGTTTAATGACTTCATCTTCTGCCAACAGGGACTTATTTGGACCCAAAATATAAACCAATTTTTTTTTTTTTATTTTTTTTTTCATTTGAATGATGAAGTTTTCATGTTCATTCCTTCAGTATGTTTTCAATTCATAAACTCTTAAGATGTTCACACTTCAAAACTGCTTAGCACTAGTAAGCAAGTTTAACCCTCTGCTTTCTATCACATGCCATGTACCATCTACTACTTGTCTTCCAACAGGAAATGCCCAAATGTTCATCACACACTCCACAGAGAAACCTGGGAACAATCACTGCAACCAGTTAGCATAGATGCGACAGCAAAAGCCGAGTCTCCTAGTGGCTTGAGAAGTCAAAGAAGTATGAGAAATAAAGTAACCTGGGGCTGATGGACTGATTATGTGCTGAAAAGGTAGGCAGAACTACCTTAATTAACAGATTTTCCTCAAAAGACAATCCACAATAGTTTTCCATTTTCTGTGCTTGATTTTCTCCTGATGTAAACTAAAGAACTTTATTTAAAAAAAAAAAAAAAACAAAACTCCCAGGATAAAATTATTATGCTTTTCATTTAGAAAAATGGCAAAATAAATTAGTTTAGTTTCATAAGCCACCTCTCCTCATGTCAAAAATTATTTTTAACTGTTCCTAATTTTTGTCAAATGAGTCAGATAATTAAGCATTATTTCAACAGAAGTTAATCTGTGCTTCTGATTTTTTTTTTATCTTGTCACATAGACATACTTTGACTTCATGTGTATGACAACCCCGAGCAACTCTGAAGACAGAATTCCTTCAGCAGGAGGCTGGACTGGCCAATCTCCACAAGTCTCTTCCTAAATCATTCTCTGATCCTATTCTGGTAAACTGGCTGCAAACCAGACCATTCTTTCTGTTTTCACCATTTATCCAATGCTGCTAAAACAGATGGCAAAGAAGATCTCTAGACAAGGCTTACTTTATGCCACAAAAATATATTATTGTATATTTATAATAAAAGGTATATAGAAAAAGGTATTTGCTTCAAAGGGATTTCTGACTCATGTATACTTTTTTCCATTTTTCTCCTGACAATATTTCTGCTTGACCACAAAACCAAAAACCAAAACCAACCAAACAAAACAACAACAAAAATAAAAAACAAGAAAACCCCAACTGATTCATTCTGGTATGTGATAGATTCCTGGTTGGGGGTAAAACTGGATGTATACATCTGAATTTCAGAAAGGAGCTCTAAAATTCTTCTTTTGATTGTGAAGTTTAGTTTGCCTGTAATGTTGAATGTGTGACACAATCAAAATCATGACACAAAGACAGCTACTCTCAACAGCAGTAAGAAAAAGCCTGAAAATTCCATCTCAGCACAGCTCATAGTAATATTGCAGAAGTTTAATTTTCCTAACCCTATCATTTCTGCTGTCTGAAAAACAAATACCAATGCACCCTTTGCTACTTGCACCTGATTCCTTTTTGCATGTGCTAATTTTACTGTGACCACTATAAACACTGCAGGCACAGTAACTGAAGTTTTGCAGTCAGGCAGAGCAATGAAGCAAAATGACTTGTTTTTAATAGGTATTAACAGCTGTATTGATTCCTATCCACTTCCCCTTCATTTCATCCTCTATGATCAAATCCTCTCTTTCATCCTCTGATGAAATCCTCCTGATCATCCTGTAGGATGAACAGTTGCCTCTAGGCATCCTCTACACAATTTGTTCCAATACCAGTGTTTCTGTCAATTCCCTGCTCATTTACCAACTGCACAATTGCTTATGAGATTCTGAGGACCAATTCTCATTACTCAGGAACCAAAAAATACATCTTGAAATTTTGTGGCAATACTAGCTTAAAATATTTACAGCCCCACAAATCTATTCAGCAGACTGTACAGCTCTACATCACTTTTCATTCCCCAGGATTTGTAAATCAGACAGCATTCTTATGCTATTTGCAAAACAGTAGAGGTGATCAAATTTCTCAGTCATACTAAAACACAGGTGGAAATACATTTGGGAGAAAACATACAGTTCAAGAGCTGAACTGATCTAAATGGTATGCAATACACTCTCTTCAGAAAGCCTTCTGTAGCACATCCTACTATTACATGTTTGGAAATTAGCAGAAAAGATTAACTGAAATCTTTACACAACACTAGAACAACATCTTGAAAAGAAAAAACCAAGTAGTTTCAAGATGCATTTGCAGACCAAGTAGCTCCTGACAGAACTAACGTTGCTGTATTGCCTCTGGAACTGTCTGAAAGCCAGGGATGTCAAAGTGTACTCTTGGTCAATGTACACACTGTACCAACAGAGAAACTGCATGCAAGAGCAGCAGAACACATGGCCCTTACAGCCATTAAAGATGCCTATATTCCATATAAAAATCAAGGAATCTTTGTTTTTTAGGTTTACGTCTCAAAACAACCAAAAAATCAGTGAAGTCTGACTTCACTGATTTGTCTCTATAGAAACCAGAAGACTCTTAGTTTTCATACGATGATGCACCAAGTCACTCCACTGCATTCAGACTGCATCTGGTTTAGTTTTCAAACTTATAAGTTTCAATGCTATGATGCAAGTATTACCTCTAAATGCTTATTTGATACATTCCAGTATTTTGGGCGGGGAATGAAAAAAAAATTTATTTAAATTGCATTTATATTATATAAGGAGTATGAAAGTGCTTTTATTATTAAAGCACTGCCTTGGAAGAATCTAGTACTGGGGGGAAAGAATGAAGATATTAAACTATGCTTATTTCCTTGCTCATTTTATTTTAATGTCAAAACATATAATGCCAATACAATATGTTTCAACACAGCAGTCAAACGAATCATCTTTTTTGGCTTCCTCTTACATTTCTTCTAGAAATAAATCTTGCTTATCCAAATGTCTAAAATAAGATTTCCCTGCCTGTTTGCCTAGAAAGGCATTAGTATTTCCCTATTGATTTTTGGCATCTGTCAGTTTAGTCTCTCTTTTCTATACCACATGCACAATATCTTCAGGCATTTGTCTCCCCCATTTGCAGGCAGAATGAAACCACTGAGCTAGGAATTTTGTTACCATCACAAAATTAAGTTACTGTTTAAAATCTGTTGCTGCTATAACAGACCTACATTTTCCTGTTCTGAGGAACATTTTGTACTGCATGAGGTTTCATACATTCCAGCTGCCCCTTGTATATGAAGTTTTTACATTTGTTTCCAGCCTTTGATCCTTTTCTTCTCACTTTCACCACATTAAATTTTTCTACGTGCATTTTGATTCTTTTTCAGCCAAGCAGCAAGACACAGCAGAGTGGAACTCTTGGCTTCTGATGCTTGCCAGAAGGTGTTAGGAGGTATGTAGCCAACGTAATGCTCAGTCTGATCCGTTTTTGAGAAAGGATTTAAAAATTTAAACTGACAGGTCAGAATAGAAACAAGAGCTTGAGGTTTTGACACCACTATGATCAAAAAAAACAAACCAAAAAAAGTTTGGTTAAGGAAAGCAAGTATTTATTAGAAAGGTGTCAAGTAGGTGACCAAATGAAGTTTTAGCTTTTAGGTAAGAAAGTGACTCTGTATACAGTGACATTAAAGTAGGGACTAAATTAGCAAAACTATATGACTCACTGAAAGACATTTAAAACCACTTATGTGACTCACATGGGAAGAGAAGACAGATCAAGAGGGTACAGTGGGAATGTGCATTGTGTGAAGACAATTGGACTCCTCAACATCAGCTTCTGTCACTGCACTGGTGAGGTGACAGTCCTGTCACATAGCACAGATGAAGTAGCATCATCCGTTAAAAGCTCTGCTTTTCTTCTGGGGTTAACCTAACAAAAAATTTTAAGCACCACAAAGTTATTTTGTTTTATGGAATACACAGCCCAGAAATGCAGATTCCCTGAGAGCACTTTCTGATTTTATGGTTTCTCAGCAGCAACAGCTGAATGACACAGTACCAGCCAGACCAGAACACAGCTCCAGGAAGGGCTTGTCCAAAGGGATGTGGGGAACACACTGGGCAAAAGGAGAAGTTAGGCATTAATGTTTTCATGTTCACTGGATACAGGAGAAAAGGAGAAGACTGGGGAAGCTTTCTGTGGGTGGAATTCCCCATTTCCTTCCTACAAATGTGCACAAGTGTGATGAATACCATATGCTTAGGGAATGCTGGAAGATCAAGAGAATGAAAGAAGGAAGAAGAAACATTCATCCAGACCTGTGCTGTATGCTGTGTATATAGAATTATCCTGTGTATACATGGGTGATTTAGCTGAGGAAGGGAATAGTAGGGGCAATTTCCCAATGACCAGTGATAGGAAAGAAATCAGAAATGGAAGTGCTGTCCCCCAACAATGGCAACATCTTTTGACTTGTCATAAATCTAAATAATGATTTTAGCTGTCAATATAGGGTTCAGTTCATTGCTGTCCGAGAATAATTAACTTTCTAGAAGGTATAATTTTTGCATTGAGACAATACAGACAATTGTCATGGGAGCAGTTAAAAAAAAAAAAAAAGCCAATATACTACTACTTGCTTCCCCTGCTTCATTATCTGACAAAATATTTTTACCTATTTGCTTCCAGTGAAAAATGCAAAACAGATGTGATTCCTGATTAAGTAGGAATTATGTTATTTGATGTTTAATGGACCCAACAAGAATTAGGAGATTCTAGAATACAATTTTTAACATGGTCTATTTTGGTGTACGTCAAACCTCAGGGCAACAATTCACTTTCAGTTGGTGTTTTGCTCATTTTGCCATAATTCCATAAAGTCAGTAGTTGACTAAGAAGTCATCTGTTAAAACGAAGCAAATTTAAAAATATAAATGTTTCTGTTCAATGTTTTGACTGTTATTTTTCCATCAAATTTCAAGGATTGGATAAAACATGTTTTCCATGACTCTGAGATTGTTACAGAAGCCCATCCACCATTTGTATCTAGAAACAGTAATTCATGCCTTTCTATTGAAAAGATCCTAAACTTAAAACAAGCAAGCTTGTTCTCAGAATCATGCCTGCTTAGAGACTCTATAGTGGTCATTTAAAAATGTGGTCATTTAAAAACTTGAAACACACTCATATTTTATTAATTATTATAAATACTGCAGAAAATTAAAGTTTTTAGTATTAATAGATTAAAATCAATAGTTATGAATCAGTTTCAATTCATTATTACATTTAGAAACATTACAGCATGACAAAAACTGTTTATACTACCACAGATTGTCCTCACTAAGGCAGAGCATCAAACTGAGAATTGGTTTCACAGCAGCATCAAATAAAATCAGCGTCAAAGAGACCTCTGGAAAAAATCATCTGGTTCACTTCTTTGTCTGGACTCACAAACAAGGGTGTGTTGATCCTTCCTGACTTGTCCAACCTGTTCTTAAACCCCCAGCCAGAGATTCCACAGCCTCCCTAAGACAAGCTTTTTACTATGGTTAAAACCATTCCATCTCTTGGGAATAAAAGCACAATGAACAGATTATTTGGAGAAACTAAAATAAACTGTAAAATTTCAGTGTGCTGTCCCATCTTTCTTCAGGAGGAGAAAGGGGTGAACCAAGCAGAAATGAAGATACAGGAGTGTACATGTGATTTATGCCTATTTTAAAGTTTCTGTGGTTTAGATTCATATGCTAACAAGTTCCCCTAACACTGAAAAACCTGCATGAATACAGCATGAGCTAAGAAAGAGTGTTTGATTACACACACAGTAACTGTGGTTAACTTCTACAAAGTCTGTGAATACCCAATGCAGTTCAGCTCCTCTTGATGGCATGCTTCCTTTAAGACTCCTGGGACACAAGACCAGAGGTTGTTGGTTGGAGATGGAGCTACCAGGGAGTGTGAAGACAGCCAAGGTGGATCTGACTTCCACCCAGGTCCTCATGGAAACAACTGTTCTTTGATGAGCCAGAGGAATGGATTAGGACGATTGTGAGCAGTGCCAAGGAACTGAGCCAGATATAGACCACCCAAAAAGCAGAAAAGACTCTATCAAGGAGGGGAATTAGTAAAACAAA